TTCATAACTCTTCCTAGAAGCAACTTCCGCACGAACCAAGCTAGGATATATCATACCTAGTTATGCCCTATCGAACCATGAAACCCCCAGTCGAAAAGCTTTTTAGCACCTCGGGTGGTTCCCTCGTCAGACAGAATTCATTTCTGGAAGAATCAAAAGAAGATACCACGATCGGTTTCGACCTTTCTCAAGGGTCTCGCTGGTGGTTTCCTTCGAGAAAGACAGAGTTACGGCACGACAAGCAACACAAACGCCGTCCACACCGTATGAGAGTGTTACTATTCCTTGTTCTTATCGAACAAAGAACGATAACTTTTACACGACAAGAGCGAAGCACGATATCACTGTACAATGCACATGTTCTGCTTCTCTACATTAAGTATTTCTTTTCATTCTATCAGAAATGGTTCATCCTTTTAAACTTAAGCTGTATCTAGTAACGTTCACTCAACAACTATTGAGATAAATGTGAAAAGCACCATACTTATGGTTCGATCTTGGGAAGTGGTCACCTATCTTCTTACTAATCGTAGTTTTGATACCTCATACGGTGTGGACGGAGTTTGTGTTGCTCGTCGTGCCGTAACTCTGTCTTTCTCGAAAGAAACCACCAGCGAGACCCTTGAGAAAGGTCGAAACCGATCGTGATATCTTCTTTTGATTCTTTCAGAAATGAATTCTGTCTGAGTCCCTAGTAACAGAAATAGCGGTTGTAAAATTACTAAATATAATAATTTAAGTCGAGTTTCACATTAATATAGATTATATCTCAGTTGAGTCCAAACCGCTACGCATAGATTTTTCGTCAAGTTTTTGTTGTTTCTTATTCTACTTGGTGTCAGATAACCAGTTATATTTCTGCCAACAGAAAACAGTAGTGGTTTCGCTTGTTACAGAAGATTTACTGATCTATGTATAGTGATTTGAGTACTGTTCACCGCTTTGTTGTTTTTGCGAGATATCGAACACAAAATGAACATTAGTTGAAAAAGAGAAAAACACACATATATAAATAAATCAACAATCGAGATAAACACAAAAAACCTGACTGTTTCTGTCTGGAACAAAAAATATGTAAGAAGGTAAAAAACATCAAAATAGCAAAATTTGAAATAACAACATTGAATGAATAGTGATCTAAGTTAGAATTAAAGAACTACCATTATCTTCAATTGCACTTGCATAGGTCCATTTTGTGGCAAAATCTGGGAGATATGAGCACCAAAATAATATCGAAAGACTTTTGAATGAAAATATACGCCATTTAAATATTCATGAAAAATTTCAAGAGGTACTGTTAGAATATATCGGAACAATTGGACCATTGCCGTTGCCAATATCGATTATTAGAGCACCAAACGTCTTGACCGGTTATTGGATGTTTTTCAGTACGGAACCACCTACAAGGCAGAGAGGAAGGAAATGAGGATTTTAGAAAAAAACGTTTAATTTTCTTACATTGGTGTCCATTCTTGTTTGCGTTTTTCACGGTCTCGTTTTGCTGCACGTTGTTTTTCTTCTAAACGATTTTTTTCTAGATTGGCCGCTTCAATATCACCGTCTTCCATTTTCCTCATATCTGGACGGAATCGACAGTCTGTTGGAGGACATAGTCGTTTAACTTCATCAGTTAGTTCATTCAATGCCATGGTAAATAAACTAAAATTATAATACTAAAACAGACAAACAAAACAAAATAGAGGCGAACCACACATAAACTTGAACTATCGTACTTGTGGTGCATAATCTAATTTAGGAATGATTTTCCATAATTGGAATGAATTTGGAGGTAAATTGAGCTCATTTGTGACATCAGGAACGTCTTCTTCTTCCTCACTGTCAACGACAGCGGCGGATGCTACTCCTGAGGATTTTGTTGATTGTTTTGCTTCTTTTTTCATTTGTTTTAGAAATGCTTCAAAATTGTCTATATCGATTGAATAAAATGAATCTGTCCAAAAACCATATAGACCTCGAATTTTTTGTTTACTAAATTATAAACAGGAAAAACAAATGAAAGTAAATAGCAGGAATGTTATGATCAGTTACTTACTTGGAATCATACACATATCCTTCAACTTTATGCAGTTCTTTCGTAGACCATGAATACGGTTTAAAATTGAGAACAGTCTTTAATTTTCTTGTATGATTCACTATTTCCATGGTACCATGCTAAAAAAAGAAAAAAACAAATTGAATTAACAAACTGGAACATATTGACACTCAAATATTTTTAGTCTTCTTATGCGATACTTCTTTAATTAATAGGAATTCTAACGACTGAAAAGCAATTTTCTAGTATTCACTTTTGTATGAATAGAGAACTGAGAACTGTCATAGTTAATAAATTAATCCCTTAGCAATTTTCATGAGTAGTACTTGTTTAGTTACGTACATATTCGAACCATAATCTCCCGACAACAATGTTATGAATTGTACATGTCACAGTTTCCCAAGTATAGATTTCGTTGTGTCTAAAAGATACAAAAGTTAACTATAATCTTCGATGTATTTTAATATTACTTTCTTCTACCTTTTTAATTCTAACGTTAATGTTCCTTTCGGTTCAACAATCATCTTCTTGACAGTAAATTTTACTTTTGGTAATATACTTCCATAAAATTTCCATCGATCTTCTAGCGACTCACAAGTGAATGCTGATACAGGCTATTAAAAATAAATTAAAATTATCACAAGATACAGAGATATAGTCTTATAAACTACTTACAGGATGATGAGATACTTGTTCGCTCATAAATCGAAAACTCAAGTCTTCTCTAAAAGACAACGATAAAGACACTTATAGTATGTGTTAGAGATATTTCTTAGTCTATTAATCTACCTGGAAAATTCATATGTTTCACCTAATAATGGATTAAATGGTTTAGATAATCGATCAATGTTGCTTGCAATCGATGATACTGCAAAGGCTGCCACATACTGAAAGTAAAATAAAATTATAATATAAAAATATTATACATAATTTATTAGCAACTTACTTGCATTCTCATGATTGGATCGTCACACTGGTCAGCTTTATCGAGCAGATAAGAATAAAGAACATTTTCGGCAAAACGTTGTAAAAACGATACGGGCTAAAACGTGAAAAATAATCGTATCATCTCACTATAAAAATCGCGTAGAAAACACTAACCTCATTCCAAATTATTGGCATTGAAATTTTAGACAATTCTTTCCCGATACATTGTTTCAATATACTCCAGATGCTGATTTGTGAACGATCAAACATTTGCACCGGAAGTTTGGTTCTAAAACAAAAAAATGATTGCTTATGTTTTTTTATAAATGATAAACAATAGAGGAAGATTTTTTTACAATATTAAATGTGCTTGATCTCGATAATGCTTTAACTAGAGTTAATTATGATAAAGAAATTTTATTTCATACCTGTGTGAAGCTTCTTTTAATTTTTCAATAAAATCCATGATTTGTTGTTAAACAAAATTTTAATAGTTTAGTCGTAGTTTGAAGAGAAAAAATTTGTAAATAAACTAGAGATAGAATATATTAAATTTATGGTCGAACGAACGAATTTATAACATAATAAAACAGTACAATCGACTTTTTCTGTGTAAGGTATTATTGCGTGAATGTATAATGCAATAAAGAAAATATAGGTGAAGTATTATAAACTTTTTTAAACAAAGAAAATAGATAAATTCGGGGTGTTTTGTGTATTCTTCCCCAGTCGTGTTCTCTTTCCTTCTTTCTCTTTCGGGTATGGATCAGTACCTTCTCTGCATAATATTTCGAATTAACTCACTCAACCTTATACTTTTCTTTTGTTCTCTTATTCAAAAAAATAGAGTTTTATTTTGCAACTTACAACAGCATGAAATAAAAAGAACAGCTGATTATCGCTTATCATTTTATGATGATAGTTGATAAGAGTCATGATAAAATTTAAAATCGTTAAGTCAGTCTAGTACGATTTATTAGAAAATATGTTCGCATATTTTCAAATTAGTTAGCATTTTTCTCAAAGAGTTTTACGCACGAGGTTTCGACATGACTTTTGATTTTTTTTGTTTTTATGTGACTATTGTCATCTCAAAGCAATAAATGATTTAGATTTTAATTGGAAACAAATATATAGAAACTATAACAAGGAAAACATATACATGGAAGAGAAATTAAAAAGTTTATTAAGATAGAATTAACATACAACATCGACTAATCATATGAAAGGACATTATTTTTATACAGGTATTTGTTTTTCGTGCATATCACAGAAATATTTCTCTTTTTGATGACATAACAAAAAAAGTAGCATCAAAAACAACGACAAAAAAAAGTGTAGGTTGTATTATCTGTTGACAATGTTTTATATAGACACACGATTGACATGATGTTATTTAATGTAAAATAGCACATTTACCAAAAGAAGAAGAGAAAGGATGAGTAAAATATGGTAGTGTGAATATTTAGATAAGTACGAATTTCTCGAGACTTTAAGTTTGAAACAAACTAAGTAATACATTTGAAAAGGAAAAGAAATTTTCAGTGTAATATCTATTTATCTGTATCACAGTTGTAGATTTAGAAAAAATATATATGTACCATATTGTTGTGTGAATGAAATGAATAAAATACCTTTTTTTTTAAAATAATTTCTATCTATTTTTTGTTATTTGATCTTCTAAATTAACGACAAAGTCTATATAGTAAAGTTTTTTTCTTATACTATGAACTATATAATAATAGTTGAACTTTACGGTTTGAAAATACATGGAAAACAAAATATTTCATTGTATTTGACATTATAATGGTTTTTATTAAAGAGAATAAAAACGGAAGTTTTTTAAATCAACACCAAAAGATGTTTATCTATACTAGTCTTGTAATGAAGAAAAGTTCAAGAAAATCAGCTACACGGTTATGAACGTAAATAAGAAAAATGTTTAAATTTAAATATGAGTTAAATTTAATATCAGAATAGATATTTTGGCATTTCTTTTTATGCAAAAAAAGAAAAAACAATTATATTTTTATTCTTTTGCTTTCTACTGCCATAATAGAAAAAAAATCATGTAAGCATATAGATTTACAAAAAAACTGAGTAAGAAAAAAATCAATAGAAAAAGGGGAACGAGATTGAAATAGATATCTTTAAAAATCTTACCGTCCAAAATTTCGACGCTTTAAATCCGTCCATCCTTTTGTTAAATCGTTTTGTATATTCAAATTTAGATCATTAGAATCTATGAATTGTGAAAATGAAATGAAATGATATAATTTAGAAAGTAATATATAAATATTACCATCAGCATCAAAAAATTCATCCTCGCCATTTTGATTATTGTTCATTGATCCGGTTACAGAATATTGATCATTCACTGATGAATTACCATTGAGAAATAACAAATCTAAAGTATAAATGAAAAATGAGACATATTTCATGGTCAATCTATTAGTTCTGCTAACATTTTACTTCATAATAACACTATACAGGACAGCAGACTATTAAATCTATTCTAATAAGAGTTACAAAATTCATAAAACAAAAGTTATTAGATATAGAATAAAAAAACTAATAACTTTTTTCAATTATTTCGAGGGATATGCACCGTCTCATAATCAACCTCTATTTACTATTCTGATCCTAATCGATTATTAACTCATATTTATCAATTAAATCTATTTAAAATTGCTTACGTGTAGTTTATTAAAAATGTTTCTCAATATTATTGTCATTTGAAAGCCAATCTTAAAATGTAATTTTTCTATAGTAAATCAGATCAAAAACAATCATCATAAATTTGACAAAAAAAAATAACAAAAATTTTTCATATTATTTAAAATTATAAATTGAGAGTAAAACTTATCAATAATCATAAAAACGATTATATGTCAAAAACATTTTCTATTTAAAAACAGAAAAATATCTTAATTTAACAGAGCGTAAATACGACTTTATAGACCTAACAAAACACACCGTGTATATTTTCATAGATGATTAAATTTAACAAATAAGTGGTTAAACAAACATTGAGCTTTTTTTTTTTACATCATTCAATCATTCTCATAGATTATCCATCTTTATTTTTCCATCTGATCAATAATATTATTATGTTCCTTTTTCTTGTGCACTACAAATTTGATTCTATTGAAAATATAAGCATATTTTCTTGTGGTATAAAAACATCCCACACTACTTACTTGTTTTCAAGGTTCATGAAAAAATGTATATCAAAACTAACTTTTTATTATTCATCCATTAACCTTCGCCACGTGTGATAGTTAATTTGAAAAATACGACAAATATATTTTCTTCTTTCTTTGTTTTGCTTTTTTTATGATCAAATTATGTAATAGGAAATACATAAAAATATTTGAAAGAAAAGTGTATACATTTCAAAATCAGACAAGTTCCATACATTGATTTAGTTGAATTGATTAATTTTATTTTCATACTTTTATTCTTTGGTTATCAAAAACACGAATGGTGAACTCCAACTGAATCCTTTTCTATTTCTTTTTTTTTCTTGTTCTGCGGTAAAAACTTCTTTTTATCTTTTTCTTTACTCGACAAACATATGTAGATGGGTAATACGGAAAGAAAAAATTTTGTACAAAAACACAAATTTGAATAATTTTCGCATAAACTTGGATATAAATGAGTAGCGTATATATGTACCAAAGTAACATCATTTTTTTTGTTTTATTTATTTGTTTTCTTTTATTTGTATTGCTTACGTTTCATGTTCAACTAATGACAACTTATAATGGGTTCTATCCGGTTAGTTATGTTAAATAAACATGTTTAAATTAAAATAAAAATAGGTGGTCGATTATTCACCATGAGAGAATCGTTCAATAGTTAAAAAGATAAAACCTACTTGCTTCACTCGATTTAGTCATTGTTCATGTATACTTTTAAAATAAATCTGTCGCTGTCATCCATTAGTTAAAAAATAATTCTTTACTAATTTTGATTTGAAAGAACTTGAATTGATAAAAAAGAAGTTAGTTTCTACATTGTCTCAAAATGCCCTTTAGATACCAGGACAGAAATTCAGTGTTATTTAAATATAAATGAATTAACGTTTATAAAAGCACTAGTCGCCGATCAACTTGGTCTGAAAAGCTGGATCATCTATGCAGTTTTATCAGGGCTGAGTCAAATCTCATTAAAATCTGTGTTCAGGGGCGTACTTACTGGGCGGGGGTTGCTGACAGAAAAGTTTCTGTTTTGTGTTTTTCGTTCTTCAAAAAAAAACATCGTTTTAGAATAACGAAAACATTTTTTAGGCAGGCTCACCCCGTTGCTGTGAGATGCCAGGTACGTCTCTGTCTGTGCTCTGATTCAGGGATGAAAAATCTGATCAGCTTATCAGCTCTAAATCTGGCGACGGGGTCAAGACTTAATTTTCTGAACAGGGCATAGTTTCTGAAATTTTATTATTCTGATTTCGGTCAGATTTTTCAGCTCTGAATTTGTTATAAGAAGAAAAGCTTCATGTAGATAACAAATACTTCTAAACTCTGAGAAAAATTTAGAATAGTACAAAAATTAGATAACTTACAAGATCACAAATATTCAACAACAGTGTTACTATAAACATGAAAATATGACTGTTACTATCAAGCGCACTCCCTAAGCTCTCACCATCATGTGGTTACTTGAGTCAGCCCGGCAAGCACTGATAAGGATATTCAGTTCTGAAGCAGTAAGAAGCAAGAGAGAAGAAAAAAAACTTTTTGTGGAAAGTAATTTTCAGTTTTTTCGGAGCTGATTCCGACTTTGATTTAGCCCTAATAAAACTCCATAGTTCATTTAGTTTTAGATCGAGCTGTTTGTCGACTATTAAGGCTGCTTCTACATGAAGTTTTAGCAAAAAAAAACAATGTGTTCTTCTCCGATTTATATATAACTTTGTCGAGTAGTGTGTAAATCAGAGCTCTGTAGGTTGCCACTTTTTGGCAACCTATAACCTAACCTATGAAAATTTTCATAACCTAATTCTAACCTAGCCTATCTTGTGGTTTTTTTGTTT